TCGCAATCAAGCCTTGCACAGAGGTTGAGACTGCTGTCAATTATACAGAGAACTCTTGTGTTTATTCTTACGCTGTATTCAGGAAAATTTATTCAGGGAAAATTTCTACTTGACGGCTAGAATTATATCGACAGGGCATCGCGATCAGAAAGTCTTGAACTCTTTATTTTCAAAACTACACTTTTCCGTTAAATTTCTTTCCATATCCTCATACTGTTTCCAGAATTCTCATTATTCTCCTTAGTGCAGCTTTAATCGTTTTACCTTTTTTCCTTGGTGTGCTGCAAAAAAAAAGAGTGGTACCTGTCATCCCTTGAAACAGTACATTATACGTCTAATCAGAGCTTATAAATTCAGATGGAGATCGGTTTAGCTGCTTCTTAGCATCTATGTGGAATTGTTAATTCCAGACGATTCGCCAAATAAGAGAAGGTTCGAAACTTTTTTTTCTATTTAACTATTTAAAATTAATTTAATAATTTATTAGATTTCTGTTTATGTCTTTACCTTTTTCTTAATTTAAATGTATTATTTTAATTGATTAGATTTAATCAATTAATTAATTTAATTTAATCATTAAAATAATTAATTAAATAATTAATTAATTAATTGCTAAATTAAATTAAATCAATATTAATCTTCTTTTAAATTTATTATTTGATTATTTTAATTTAGCTCTTTTATTTATTTAATATTTTTTTCTTTCTTTTCTTTACAGTCTTCCATAGGGCTCCGGCACTTCTAATTTTAGAAATTAAGCCCTGATAATTGCTAATTTTAAAGAGTTTTCATTTAATTTCTTCCTCCTTATTTCATTGCTCCTTTAAAAGATTCCACAATGACATGCAATAAATCCTTTTACGATGTTGTTTGGTACTTCTTGGCTGAAAACTTTCAAAATTCTTATTCTCAAACCTAACTTTTGATAATTAAGACACAATAACACGCCGAATAAATACTAATTCAGAAGTCAAACAACAAAAATCAGCGTTATATTTGATAAATGATTTTTCATTTGCGGTTTTGCAGCTGAAGATGATGGTTCGGTAAAACCATCGAAACTAGTCCTGTGAAAATTTTGTAAATATAACGCTGATTTTTGTTGTTTGACTTCTGAATTACTAACTTTTGATGTTCTCAGTTTTAATCAAACTTCTTGTGCTGGTAAAATTCTTTTAATTTTCTATTTAATAGTCATTGCTTAGAATAATCAATAAAACAATTCTTTTAAATTACTGTTCGAGTAATTTGATGACTACTTAGAATTATGGATTATTCTTCATTCACAATTCCCATTATAATTCTTTGTTCAATGTGTATGCAAGGACTTGCATCGACTTATTATTAATCATATAAAGTAGCTAATTCGAAAATGCTTAAAACGGTTAGCTTCTCGAAAATTACTTTTTCTCGAAATTTCTATGATTAGACTAAAGACAGAAGAAATGATACATAGCATATGATAAACAAGCCAGCTACAAATACTTACATTATTCGTGATCTAAGGTTGCATGAGTTATTTCAAAACAGAATGTGGCATTGACATTTAAACCTTATGACGATAAAAATATCTTAATTGAAATGCTGTCAACGAAATAGTTGAGTATTACAGCATTCCAACACAGTTCTAATTTTTTAGATTACCCTTCGCTGATATCTGCATGTAATTTTAATCGTCTGTGATAACCTTAAATGTCAAATTCAAGGTTAGTTATTGCAATAAAGCCTTGATTAAGCTTAGATTTCCTTTTTAATGAAAACACGTTTCGAACTCAGTTGCCGTTATTTTTGAGAAATCAGACTGCTAATGTTTAATTTTTATAATGCATGTAAGCGCGGATAGATGGCGTTGCAAGAAAGCCGCTGTTAGAAGGCGCAAAATTTAGAAGCTATAACGAGATCGAATGAAAGGAAACGAGCGCGATCGAATGAAAGGAAACGTGTTAAGATTTCCAGCATGCTTGCTAGATGTAAATATATAAATAATTAGCTCGTTAATAATTCTAGTTTAATAATTATATGTACCATTCTCTCGAGTAAAGCTAGCTCATCAGTTAACAGCGTTTGTAAATGTGTGAAGTTTTCAGAATAAAAACTTCTGTTTAACCAGTTAATATTTTACTAAATCGATTCTAACTAGCAAAGTCAATATATTAAAAAATAAAAAAATCCTTCTAAGACGGCACAAAAATAATTATTCTATTATGAGGATAATAATAATAATAATTACAAAAATAATTATTATTATTATTCTTTTTTTATTATTTTTTATTATATTCACAAAAATAATTATTTTTTTATATTTTTTCTAATTATTATAAGGATGATTTTGATGTTATATATTAACATAAAAGAATAATTTATAAAAATAATTATTCTTTATGTTAATATATAACATCAAATTCATCTTTATTAATTAGAAGGAGAGAAATGTTTACGAAAACTGTCGGTTAAACGTAATTTAAATCACGACGTAGATTTATTGTAACTATACATAAATTGCATATAGTCTAAAAAAATAAAGAATAAACCATTAAAAAGAATATATATTGCTCTTAAATTATTCAGTTAAAGCTAAAAACTAGTTAGTTAATCTATGCTTTGTTTTAATTTGAAAGATAAATAAAGATTTTACAGAACGTGAAATGGCAAAAGTTTTGAATAGTGGCAAATCGTCTATCCGAGTGGATGATAAATGAAAAATCAAATGCCTCGTAGAACAGAAATACTTTCCATTCTTAACAGATCATAAACACTGTGGTAACGTAATGTAATACAGCAGAGTCTCGGAAACTCAACTCCCGATATTTAGACATTCCGTATAACTTGACAACAACTTTTAGGAACTTTTTTAAGATATCTCTAGGCCAGACAGAGCAAATATCACATATTGTACATATTGTTGCGTGTGTACGGGTTTGTTACGAAATGAATGCACAAGTCAGATGAAAAATGAACAAAAATTTATTATTATCACAACAAATATGATTAAATGTCCTCAAATAATCGTGCAGTATCACAAAATATCACAGTAGTTTTAATTCAGAAGTCAAAGAACAAAAATCAGCGTTAATTTACAAAATTTTCACAGGACTAGTTTCGATGGTTTTACCGAACCATCATCTTCAGCTGCAAAACCGCAAATGAACAAGATAGGAAAATGTTTGCCTTCCACCACACTTTAAATCATGTCATCCGACTAAACAAAAGTTAGCTTCATTTTATTCCTATGTTTTCCGTGCTCTTCAAGTTTGCTCCTCCAAACTAGCCCTTGATGAAGAACTAAATTATTTAAAAGCAATAGCTATTGACAGGGGCTTTTCACCCAACATTATTAATCAAGCAGTTAAAAAATTCTCATCTCAACACACTAAAAGACACACTCTTATTTTAGGAGATTATAAAAATTCTGTTGTCATTCCCTTCTTTCCATCAATTAGCTATAAAGTTGCACATATTTTGCAGAAATTTAACTTTCGGGTTGTTTACTTCTCCCATCAATAAAATTCCAACTTCTATACTCAAGGACCCCCATTCCGGATATGAATTCCTGGGGTATTTATAGGATTCCTTGCCAGTGCGGTTTAATTTACATTGGCCAAACTAAGAGAGCCTTAAAATTTCGTGTCAAAGAACATGAGGCATATGTTAGAAAAAAGGAAACACAGAAGTCTTCTGTTGCTCAAACATTGTTGGTCCGAAAATCACACTTTCAATTTTTCTGCTGCCAAAATTATTCAAAAAACATCTTCCATTGGAGAACTGGATTTTCTAGAGGCATTTCACATTCATAAAAAATCTTTCTGTTCTAGTTAACGATCCTAATTCCAATCCAAATTTGCCTTCGGCTTTTAGAGAAATTATGTTTTAGTTCTGGTTTCGCCAACAGATGGCGCCACTTGCTTATTCTTGTCCAGGCTTTCTTATCTTATCTAAACATTATTTCCTATCTTGTTCATTTGCGGTTTTGCAGCTGAAGATGATGGTTCGGTAAAACCATCGAAACTAGTCCTGTGAAAATTTTGTAAATTAACGCTGATTTTTGTTGTTTGACTTCTGAATTAGTATTTATTCGGCGTGTTATTGTGTCTTAATCACAGTAGTTATCTTCTAACTACTCAAACGTTCAAGAAAACTTAATTCAAAACAGCTAAAGAAAGCTAATCCCCGAATTCGCTACAGTCAACAAGAGCAGTTTTCTAAACAACAGCAGACTAAGTAACTACAACGAACTGAGAGGTTTTCCTCCGTTTATAAGATTTTAAAATCGCGCGCGAGAATTTTTTAATCGTGACCTGTTTGCAGTCTGAAGTTTGCCACAGCCTCTTTGCGGGGTTTTTGACAAAACCTTTTCCATGTGTCTTCAATGTTAGCCCAGGATTTTGCCTGTTGTTTTTGCTGCCTGGTCATTTTTAAGAGTGAATTTGCTTTACTCTGAGCCGCCTTAGCCATAGCTGTTACTCATTTAGCTAATGACTCTACAAGCCTAAATATATATTCATCTAGTATCTTACAAAATGCTTCGCTATTCCATCTGACAATTCTCTATCGATAATCGCGACTTGCTAAACCATATTCAAGAAACCAGTCCTTTTGGGGCATTTTTAAAAATCTGAATCCTTTAAACAGATTTTTTTTAATTTATTTTATTAAAATTTTTTAAATAATGCATTTTTCTATTATGTATTAGACTGTTACCTAAAGTTTTCTGATTGCTAGTTCTGTTCTTGAATACAAATTTTTCTCGTGCCTTCGTATCTAATAGATTATCAAATTTATCTCCATTCCATTCCCATCGAATTCTTATCCCGGACTACAAACACATAATTCCGCTTTATCTCTCAAGAGTGGATTGTACTGAACTCTTGAAGGCGAGCCAGACAACATTTGTTTGTTTACATTCCCTGGAATATTTCTCAGAAACACCGCGCGCGAACCTCGCCACGTGTGTACGAAGGAAAAAAGATCTAGTTAAAAGAAAATTGGCAGTGGATTACTAGCGCATGCGTTTAGTGTGCGAATCGCGATTGGAGTACACCCGAGGTGTCAAGCTTGAAAGTGATTTTCCGACGCGACTTCAGGATTTTGTTAGTCAGATCCGGATCAGCGGTCAAGGGTGCACGAGATGTTGTTCAGAGGTGCCTTGTTGTTGTTGGTAGTGGTTATAGCTTCTTCACTGCACATGAAATATAGATATTTTGATGGTTCGTAATTATTTCTTACTTTTTCCCCACTCATAAATAAGCTTCTACGTAATTAATCTTAATTCTGGCTCTTCTCTTTTTATTTCTGTGGAAGGATGTGTTGGGCAAGTCACAATTTCGTCTTTTCAAACCAAACTATCTAGTCTAAAAAAGAGGAATGTTTTAATTTTTGATAATATTATTATTAAGTATATTTGTCGAATGATTTCTAACCTATCTCTAGGTTTAATTATTTTTTAACTGAACAATACTTATGTGTTTGCGAAACGAACGTCAGCATGTTTCTTCTTTTTATACTCGTTTAGTTTGCATTCAGAACTTTTAAAACTTCATTTTATATCAACACAGAAATATAATAAATAGTTTCCTTTGATATTATTCGCACCGTAAAATTTATACAGATACTTCTGAATTTCGTAAGCAGACTAAATTAATAGTTGCTATTTTTTAAAACTGTTAAAATTTTATTTCGCTTTAAAAGTAAATCAAACGTTTTGTGTAAGCACTTATGAAAAATTTGCTAACAGTAAAATAAATCAATGGTTTTTTACAATCCATACCGTCCATTATTATTTCATTCCTTCTTCTTAAGGAAAGTCTAAACAAACCTGAACAAGCAGCTTCAAGAATGCAGCTATATAATTTTTAGGGGTCTTAGAACTTTCGTTAGAAAATCTAATTTGTAAGAATTTTAAATCATAGACTGAAAATTTTTAATAATAAATTTATTATAAAAAAATCCTGACATTTTCATGATCAGGCAGTTTTTAAAAATACAGTGAGATTTTTAAAAAAATTAATTTTAAAATCATTTTAATTAATTTTTGAAAGGGATTTAATAAATCTTCTGAATGTATTAATGTTTGAGCCATCATTAATGTTTCAGCTGAAACATTAAGTAATTAAGTAGCTTTTTTTTTTTTTTTTAGTGGGGAGGGTGGGTATGTAAAAACTTAACTTTAAAATGTATATTAAAATCTGAGTGAATATATATTAAAACTTAATATATCTATTAAATCTTTATGTGTATTAAAACTTAACTTTATTACACTTATTAAACGTTCTTGGCAATTAATTTTTGAAGCTGAAAGATTAAATGCTGAAAAACGTTTCTAACTGAACTTTTATTCCTATGTATCAAAATTTAACTTTAATGTAAACTTTTCTAACTAAACAAACACAACTTTTCTAGCTTTTTATTTTATTATATTTTTTTATTTTATATTTTATTTATTTATTATTTATTGTTTAATCTAAAGAATTTATATGTGTAAAAAGGATTTTCGATTAAAATTCCTTTCTTTAACTCAGTAATTTTTCTTGTAAATTTCATTTCGTTTAAAATAGTTGACCTGCTTAATTTTTTATATTGCGATTTTTGTAACTAATTCATAATAATATTATATCTTATTTTATTAATTTATCAACAAAATAAATAATTGAACAAAACATTTCCTTTCAAATATAAGGGATTAAATTTATTCTAACAGTATTTCAATAATGCATATTTTTCCATCAAATTTAGAATCAAATTTTTTAATCTTCCCTTTTGCAGTATAAAATGACTTTTGCCCAATTGCAGTATAAAATAATCTGAATTTATTACATAAGCTATTTTTAAAAAGCAATTTATTTTATTTTTAAAATGAAAAATATGTACTTAACATGAAATAGGAAGAAATATGTGGAAACACAGATAAAGCTTTTTTAATTCAGCATACATAGTTTGGATTGTCTTCCATTTACCGAAATATTTAAATTCGAATAAATTCTTATTATGCTACTTTATCTATGCACCTGTAAAATTACTAAATCTCATGTGCCTATATAAAATACAAGTAACCTTTATATTAGTGTATGGCAAGAGAAATGGCCGTAATTGTTAAAAAAAATGTACCTGCCTCGAATACAATATCCAATAACAGGTGCAAAAGTGCAGTCTGTAAGGAGGGGCAAGCAATTCTAATTACGAAGAAGGCACGAAGAGTGGTTTAGCAACTTTCCTTGTCTTTAAATTTCGGATGAAGCTGCTATTATTCAAGGTCATACGTGACACAACTTTTATTCATATTTTACTTGTTCTCGTACTAAAGGCTGTAATTTAGTTTTAAATTGAGTTATGGTAATTGAGAAAATTTGTGTTATGAATGCTTTGCATTATCAAACTATTTTTAGATGTTATAGGAAGAAAGAGAAAGAAAAGATTTTGTTAATCATAGATTTTAAGGTGCTTGATAAATTACTCTTATTCATTTTTGGATATTAATTAGTTAAAAATATTAGTTTTGATATTAATTAGCTGAAAATAGTAGTTTGAATCAGTGATGGCTACTTAAATATGTTGAATTCAATTTTTCTTTAATGAAAGCGATAGAGGTAACCTTTATAAATTAAGAAACTTCTGCTAAATAAACCATAATAAAAAATAATGCATTTTAAAGGTAGAAGAACTATTTTACTCTAAATTAGAGTACGAAAGAAGCACTTTACTGTAAACTACAATAAAGTGGTTCTTTTCTTATTAAAAGAATTCGGGCGTTGAGAGGAATTTATAGCAAGATCATATTTGGGTTGTTTTATTGATCTTTAACTGACCTAGCTTTGATGAAATAACTTTATGCTATCACAATTCCATTATAAGCAGGAGTGAATACCACATCCTTCTGTATTGTTTTGTTGTTACAACTTTTAACAACTTTTTTAACCTCCATTTTTATTTCTATAGCTGAAAATTATATGAATTTGCATCTTCAAAGTCCTTATATGTAACAATACAAATCTTAGCATTCTTGATGTGACAAATTACTACAACAGCTAAAATTGTTTTAAATTACTACAATATAAATAATAGAAAAGGATTAGCTTAATATCGGTTTTAAAATTAAAATGAAGCATTTTAATTTTCTGTTCTTTATTTTTTTTTTTTTTTTTTTTTTTTTTTTTTCAGTAACTTTAAAATGTTTGTGAAATGAAAATATGAAAATTATCAAGTTTTCTCCGATTTAAAATTATGTACCTCTATTTCATTTTGCTAAGAGTTTCCAATGATTAAGTTTTTCTTTAATGTAAAATTTAATAATTAATATGTATCTGAGAAGTTTGCCTGTATTTTTTCAGGTACACTTTGCACAGATAATATGGGATAGTTCTCTATCTCCCCTTCTACTCGACCGACTGACGAAATTTAACTTGCATTTTTCATGTCTCCAAAGCACAGCTTAGAATATCTATTAGATTTACATACAGCTTTGTTCTAACATAGGTATTCTGACACGAAATATGTTTTTTTCTGAAATGGCATACCTATTGTTTTCCATATTTTGATTCTACGACTCAAATTATGCCAAAATATTAAATTTGGTAATAATAATCGTAAATATAATCAAATAAATAATAATCGTAAAATTTGGTGAGAAACTTACCTAGAAATTTAAAAAATTAATCTTGGCGCACTTTTTTTAAAATTTGCGCCATGAATTTGAGCCACTTGGCGAAATTTTTAATTTCTAGTAACCTATTTTCCTTTCCCTTTTCTCATTGCTTACGAGCGGAAAAGAAAGTTGAATCGTTCATTCTTAAAATAATTTTTAACAAATTGCAGAAACCATATTTGGCGTTATTATCGCGTGTAACAAATACGCCAAATTTCAAAACGTGCTAAAATATAAATTTACGTATATCTTGGGAAATTTTCAATAAAATATCTTATTTTTTTGTAGGTATGCCTAGAAATACTTACTTTAAGATGATAGTAAAACTTTCATAGGTTATAATTCATTTTTTTTCTAAAAATTCATAAAAATTACTACAAAATTAAAAAAAAATCAGAAAGTACCTATGAATTTGATTCGGATGTAACCTAAGTTTCTAATTGTGAAAGAAGAAAATCAAGTAAGTTTAATAAAAAAGAGATATATTAATATATACCCAATTCAATTAACACTGATAATTTTGAGAGCTCATTCTTTGAAATGTACTGGTGCGATTTTTACAAAACTTGTCACTTTGGCATAATTTGAGTTGTAGAATCAAGAAACGGAAAAAAAATCCTTATTTTTTTCCAGAATTTTTTATCAAGCTTTTCTTTTCAATTTTTATCAAGCAGAGGAATCAATTTATTTTAAACAGAGGAATTTGGTTATAACGAGCATTAAAAAACTAATAAAATTTTATTTTGGTAGTTCCTATATCAGTGAAAAATTCAGTTAGTGCAAGAATGCATAGGAAATAAAAAGATTATATGTATATATATATATATATATTTATTATTGTTGGGAACCTAGACAAAAGCAAATTCTTTAGTACTTAAATATTTTTAATGCAGTTTTCCTAAACTGTACTGGACCAAAGGATTTTTATGAAATACAACTTGGTAAAGTTCTACTATTTATTAGTTTGATAAATATTAATTTATTGAATAGCTATTATCATCTTAATAGCCTCGTTAAAAATATTTTTAAAACCTCACTACGTAAACTCTTTAACTGCTGTTTCTTTCAGACGTCCATTTGAATAACTAATTTCTGGAACTCAGTTGATTCTGCAAATTCTATATTCATGCAGGAAACAGGAAATTACGAATATCTGCGGAAACATCATCAGACAGATTTCTCCTTTTATGCCAAAAGAAAAACCACTGTTCAAAAAAAAAATGCTTTAATAATCGTCATTTCGAAAAATTTCTGTGAAATGAAATATTTCCCTCATATTATTTCTTTGTTTTCAGGCTAGATGGTGCAAAATGTACTGTCCATATCATCGTCTGGCCTTTATAGTGATAAATATTACTCAGAAATATTGACGCATCTTACGTTATAATATTAGTAAATCAAAAATATAGAGCTCAGTGGTATTCACACTGGGTTCCATGAAGTGTTTTTAAGAAATAGTGTGATATTTTTTATGAAAGCTTAGAATTTGTTTTCGCTATATTGTTTTCTATAACACTTTCTTTACACTTTTTTAAACTTTTTTATTAATCATATTTTAAATTAATAAAA